TGATTTTCAAGGTGTCTACGTTGACGGTCACAATGAGCCAGATAGCAGCCTGCTGCACAACAGCCAAATACCCATATAAGCTTAAGTATCCTTCTTATCTATAGCGTAATAACTTCAACACACGTCTTGCCTTGCACCTGATGAAGAGCTAAACAAAAATTCACTGGTGAAAAGTGGACTGCTTATGTCAGTTTTGAAGGCTATTAGCTGCTCAGCTGCAGGTCTTTAAACAGCATGTAGACTTCAGTCTGGTTAGATGTTGGTGTGGTACTTACCCTTCAGTACCACTAACAACACACTGTCTTCCCATGACATGAAGGCCACGATACATGTTTGTTTACTTTGTCTCTTGTTCCCTACAGTGTAACATTGGCACATTGGCAGCCTGCCAGCTGCTGCCAGTCAAACACAGATACGCCCCTATAGCCGGCTGAGACGAAAAGCAGCATAAATGATATTTTTTGTTCTTTCAAATAATAAAAAAACTATTAATTTTTAAAAACACTGACTGTTGAAAATATACTATTATATTCCTCCTGAGCAAACTAGTTTTACCTGACTACCTTTATCTGACCTCTGCAAGATTCCCAACATAAAGTGACAATGAAACCACCCATCCATTTAAATGGCTACAAATCAGGGTAGTTGCCATTGAATAAGAATCTAACCTTTCTATATTTGATTATATTTGGTCATTTGCAGATGTAAATGTTTCATTTTAGCTGATAATTCAGAGTATAAACTTGAAAGAAACAAAAGTTAGTGCTTGGGGTCTTATAAACCTGAAACAAATCTCGAAATTCACAGCAACTGCTGATAATAAAAAGAATGCATTCAAAAATCCTGAAAAGAGAGATACTCAAATGATGAGTGGGAAGCGCATTATACAGCTCATAAACTAAAGAGTGAAAATGAAAATAAATGAAATCCTGAACTTGTGCAGAAAATAAAACTAATTTGAGGAAGGGGGGCTGAAATTACCTTGCTATTCGTACAAATACTGCCTTATTTGTTATAATTGTCATTATCATCATTAATATTGTTGAGCCGTCAATAAATGAAACAACATGAGGCTCAGACTCTGGTAGCTGGCTTAGTTGAATTCTGCCTTCAAGGAAAACTAATTAGGGACTCCTGATGAATACATACAGTATGTGTAGTGGAGGATAAAAGTCAGGAAATCATGCAGTATGTTCAGGTAATAAACCGTGGCAAAATACACTAATAATTTGAACTAAAAAAAGTAGACAGTGTAGACTTTGTAAAACTATAAATTAACTCACCAGACTTAAACCATACAATAGTTGCATGTGGATTTGCTGCACCTTCATTTGCTGCTACAGTTCAGCTACAGTCAGAATTTGCTGCTGAGCATCATGGGAATTAGGGTGTTGCCTTTGCTTGCATAGCAAAAACACTGTGAGGAAGACACCACTGTTGATTCATCATTACTCTTTTCCCTTCTTTCTCTTCTCAGCTAGCTCACTTGGGTTTCTCAGCCTCTGTAGAACCAGACATAGCTAATTAATGCCTGACACTAAGCCGAGCATGGGGAGATGGTTTGGGACAGCACCATGCAAAGTGGAATCCACCACATCCAAATGAGGCCTGACAGGTGACTGTGTCCCCAATGCAAGCCACTGCATGCATGCTGGAACCAGCCACAAGGGGCATTTGTTTAGGACATCACAAGCAGCATTTGCTGACTGCTCCTTTTCCTAATTGGTATGGAATTTAAAGGAACCATCCTGGTTGTGTCATTGCTAATTATACTTTTGTTGTCACTTTTTTTCTTTGTTATGGAAAGCCTGGAGAGAGGGACAGATTGCAAGCAACAGTCTATGTTGGGTTAGTTAAAAGATGAGAAGGCTCTAAAAAAGCCAAATTTAATTGTCTCAAATCGCAGGCTCAGCACGCCTGGCGCAGGCGAGCCTCCATGATGAAAGCTGTTTGACCATGAGATGAATTGGAGGGCTTTCTAATTTGGTAGTGTGGAAACAAATGGTTTGCTTCCTCTTGTACACAATCATTCTCTGTCATTTTTTTGTAGCTATCTCTCTTAGTGTGTATTTTGACCATCTTTTTCTCACAGAAACTGTTGCTCTTTGCGTGTGTGTGTGTATGTGTGTGTGTGTGTGTGTCTCTCTCTCTGTTCCTCCTCTCCTTTCCCTTGCTCCCTCTGCTGATTGCTATTCGTGCTTTGGAGCCAGCCTGAGCCCTAGAGCTCAAAGAGTTCAGTATCTGTTGTCTACAGTGGTGAGAGGAAGAATGAGGAAGCTGCGGTGGAAGAGTAGAAATGTGAAGGAAGAGAACCCTGAAATTCAGTACAACAGTCAACAGAAATGCCAGTGTATTCATCTAATTCGATCATTTCCAGGAGAATAAACGTCCCTGTGCTCTTATCGGAAACATGAGGCGCTACCATGATAACTCTGTTTGTAAGCTACCATTCTTAATGTAAATCTTTATCACATAAGAAACCTACCATGTGATTTTTATCAAATATTATGTGTCACTCTTTTGCATTTCACTTTACAGGCTCATTAGTGTGCTTTGTCTCTGCTATTCAAGTTTACATAAAACTGAAATCAGAGTGCTTGTTTCTAGGGAGGAACTTGTTGCAGTAGTAGTCAATAGCTCTGAATGTATATGTCCCCTTGTCAAGCAGCTATTAGCTGATCCTGTCAGACTGGGAGCTCCCAGCATGACCAGTTTGACGACAGGGAATACAGTATCATGGTTGTTTGGGGGGGTTTTTTTTGCGGGGTTTGGCTCCTGGCGCTCTGGAGCTTTTTGCCTTAATTTGACAGGACAGGTCAAGATAGACAGGAAGGGGGGGGGGAATGACACACAGCAAAGGCCCACAGGTCTGACTCGAATCGAAAGCACCATAATGGTACACTGGACAGATGTACCTTTAGCTGTTTTTTACTGTAGCAGTTTAAAAAAATAACCAAATCAAATATCTATAACAACCTCACACTTACACATAAATGAAATGCACAAAAAACATATTAAAGATTGCAAAGCTGCATGTACTCTGCACTTATCTCTCTCTCGACTCGTACATACAAACAAGCGCACGCACATACAAACGCCCACACACAACCACTGGAAAAGACACTCTGGCAAATATTGTTTACTGATATGCGGATTGGGTTTAAGACCGGAACGCTGAGCATTTCAATCTAAACAGTACACACTCTTAATTGGATTGTGTGCTTATGTGCTTTGATGTGAATCCTCTAAGGACTGTATATTATTAGGCCTAATTGATTCTGATACATATTTACACGAGTTTAGAAAATGAGTCCAAAACAAATGTCAGTGGTTTCATCATGAACCTAATAGCGGCGCATTACATGCCACCTTTTGGTTGAAACAGCCATTACTGGAACATTGTGCCATTACAGTGTCAGAGTTCACTGGTCATTTGGCAGTCCGGTGAGGCTGCTCTGTCTGTGTCAACATCTTGTGGAAATGACACCACGGACCTCCCGCTCATCACAAATGAGGCCCAGAGGGGATGATGGGAGCTGAGCGTGGGGGCTCAGCATCACCCTGAGGTTGAGAGGTGGAGCGCTGATCCTCTGTTGCTGAGCTCGTATACTCTAACCTTTCTCCAGAGGGTGTGTGTCAAGCGATTCAACCTCATCCACATGGAATATAGGTCTGCTTTAGAGTCCCTAGAAATGTTAGCCAGCACAAAGCAAAGTCACAGTCGCTTTGCTGATGGATACGCCACCACCAATGTGTGTCTCTGGGTGTTCATCTACACTGTCCATTGTGTTGAAATCCACAAGTCAAATAGCATAGTTCAAGTCAAGTCTAGTCAATTTTTAACAACAGACAGACGGTCTACAAAGTGCAGGAGCAGAGGATTAGGTCCATGGGTCGATTGAGGGTTGGTGCCACTTTTTGGCTTCAGTCCGGGTGACACTGTGGTGGGCAAATAACATGAGCTCCTTGGCCAAGCGGGCATTCACATCTTTGGTTTCACATCACCTGCAATTTAAATTCCATTACTCGCCTTGCCACACTTCAAATAAAGCTTGGGCCTATTAATTACCAAAGTATGGGTTCAGGGTAAAGGTGAACATGCAATTACAGAATTAAATCAAGCCCCCGTTTAGCTTGTCAGTCCTGACAGAAATAATTTGAGTGAATTATTAAATGCTTCCACTGCTCTCAGCTGCTTCATTGCTGCAAGAACTCAAGCGCTGCTTCTTTCTCCTGCTTTTAACGTAAAGCGATTAATTGTCCCCCCCGTCTTGAACTGTACACGTTTATGAAAAACAAAATAAAAATGACCCACTGTTACTGCTGCACGTATGCTTCCAAATGTTTTCTGTGCTCTTTGAACCATATAATAAAGAAAGTCAAGCTTAATGAGATCATTATAAATTTGCGGTGGTTATGGTAATCATGCGGAAATTGTATATCATTATCGCAGGTTTTAGGTCTAGTGAATTAGAAGTTTTAATTAGCTACCTGTTCAGGTAATTTAAAGTTCTGAGGTGATGTTTTTAATCATGCTAGGATTGCAAAATAGTTAATATTCAAATGACACCAAAGGATTTACACTTATTTACAATTCTTTCTTTTTTTAACCAAGCCCAGACAAACTTTTCTTTAGCTGTTTAAATACAAGATTACTCACTAACAAATGTGTTCAAAATTGCACAGAAGTGGAAATATTTGCTTGACTTTTATCCTTACTGCACACACCACCGTGCTTTTAAATGTGTTTCACTTCACTAAAATGAAAAGTAAACGAAAATGTCTTGTTTGGTCGAAATCTGCTGCTAGCAAACATTTTAACTAATTGCCTGTAATGAAGCAATTTGCCGGTGGCTGACTGGATTCAGTGGTTGAGTTTTGGTCCCTATGACAACCAGCTGTCTGTAATTAGTAAATCAAGCCAGGGTGAGGTTTTGGGCAGTCAGAGTGGCTGCAAAAGAAGTCAAGAGTGGCAAGTGTTCTCACTAATTGTATTGCAATGAAGTTTATGCTGACATAACTGCTAGGATGTGTGTACCTCTGGTGGTTTTTCTCAGGTATTTTAATCTTGAATGTTTCCTGTGGTTAGAAAACAATCAGCGCTGTGCTGTTTGGCTTACAGTGTTTGTTGTCTTTTGCAGCTCCATTGTGCTTCACTCTGTGTCAGCTGGAGGTGTGTATTGTGCTAAAACAGCAAGAGGTATGTAGTGCGTTTTGATTGATGTTACTACTTTCTTATAATTACCAATTAGCGGGTATATTTGACATTTCAAAACAACGAAACAGCACATAGAGAATATGCAGTTTGTCAACACTGTGTTGTTCCATTGCAGCCCGTGCAGCTGCCTTGGGTTTGGATTATCCTGGAGTCCATGGAGCCCCTGATCTCTATGGACCAGCTCACCATGGGATGCAGCGCGACACAATGCCATTCAGACGTCAACCTTACAATAACAATGGGCGTGAATTGGCTGAGACTGAACTTAACATGGCCTCCTACGGAGAAAATCAACCAGGAGTGAGATCCCTAGATGACAGAATACATAAACAAGCTAGCCCCAGGAGTTCTGAATCTGCATTTGTACTGAGCCACGGCTTGACAAGTCCAGTTCAAAGTGAATACACCACCAACCAAGTGCTTAGACTTCCCAGAGGACAATCAGTTATTAACCGCAAGTCCAATCTTGAAGAGGTCAAGCACATTGCCCCTCCAACTCTGGCTGAAGCCCCAGGCCAGTCTGACCTTGTGAATTGGGATCCTCAAGGTCGCAACAAACCGCTCTCATTTGTCTACAATGAGAATGACCTTGTTGTTGACGAGTCTGTCCCAAATAGACGTGGCATGTCTCTGAGAGGGCTCCCCCCGCCCCAAAGCTGGGGTCATGGCACCTACCGGAGGGGTCTAACAGGGTATGGCCTGGGAAGAGAAGTTCCTGTCCTTGGCTCATCGGCCTTCTCCAACAAAGACCACGTCAGAGCAATGACTAGCCGAGGTCCTGCTGATGGCAGACTGAGAAGGATTAGTTTCCCTGGCCATCTTGCTCAGCCCCTGCACAGAAGCCTCAATGTCAAACAGTTTGTTCAAGGTAACCCTGTTCTTAGACATATGACAAAACCACAATCAGGTCCCGTTAGAATAGGTCAGTGAGCTAAAATGTTCTGACACATAGCTTGGCTGTCTTGTCAAATATTGTCCCTGTAAGGAGTTCTTAAAGTTAACAGGCAAGCATTTTGTGAAGGAAAAGTGTGATTTCAGAATCTATTCTGGGTCTCTCTAACCTTTACTGAAAAGGAGCAATGTCCAGCTTATCTGTGTACAAGCTTCTGTCCTCACTTGTAGCTCTAAAACAACTCTCATCATAATAAACAAAACATTAGAAATGGTTATATTTCTCAGTGCATCTCTCCCTCTTTATTTATTTATTTATTTATTTTTTTTTTTCCTCCATCATAAATGTCTCACTAAGGTCTAGATGTTACCAGAGTGCCATCTGTTGGTCCTAATGGGTAGATATCATTTTGGCTCACATTGTTGTACACAGGTGCTGCTTAACAGAAGGTCAGCCTTTGACAAATCCCATAATCTGTTTACAATCTGTTGTTTGCAAGTACTACTAGTGGTTATGTTAATTTCTCCAAATAACCTTGGTCTTTCAGTGATGGCATGTTTCACTGGTGGTCTGGCATTTCTGATAGAGAAAATGAGGTGTTAAAATGCAGCCTTAGAGTTTAAATTTGGATAACTGTCAGCAAATATTGAATATTTATCCTTGCCCTCACTCTTTTTCCACAGGAGAGCAGGAACTAGCAGCACAGGTGGATTTTCTCCGGAAGTTTAATTGAAGAAACGCTTCATATGTCAATCCTTGGCTTTGATTCCTCACTGAAAGACATTTGAGTGTGTGGGATGGTAGGCGAGTAAGGTTACCCAATGATTGACCCATAAATCAATCAATCAATCAATCAATCAGGAGCCAGAAAGCGAGTTGGTTATGAGCCATACATCACACAGGATGTAACATTGGGTAGAAAAAGGCTACTATTCAGCAGCAACAAACAGCCAGTTTGACACCAGGAGACCACATATTTAGTGGCATGACACCAACTTCAAAACCTAGAAGCAGAGTATATTTTGCACAAATTATTTTGATCTCAAGAGATATCAACCACAAAGTGAAGAGAAAAATACTTCTGCTTTGATTTGTTTCTATCGTCACTGTTATAATAATAGCATATGATGTTTGCATATGTGCTGAACAAAGTGCGTTGTTAAAATGTATTTAATTCTGTTAATGTAATGTCTCCATGGTAATGTCTCTGCATCAGTTAAACAAGTGGTTTCCTCGCATATAGTTCTGATATACTGATTCTGCTTTGACACCCTGCAGTTGTTCACCTCCTTACCCTCGATCAATGACTTAATGACCCCTTATACAGGTTGAAAAAGGAGGGCGAAAGTCAGAGCGGGTAGGGGGAATCAACTATGCATGAACAACATGTGGGCTGTAGCAACCTAAGATTAACCTGGACTATATTTAATGCACAAAGTGCACATCACCTGCTGCTTGCTGGTTTAATATCACAAAATGCATTCAGAAAGGACACTTAAAAGCATAAAGTGACTGACACGTTTGCCATATCTTTATACCAGAACCTCTCCACTGCAATACAGTTTAACTCAAGCTTTACACAGTCACATAAGATGGTTGGCAAATCTCACCTATAGAGCAATAACCTGATTAATTTCCATAAGGGAGGTAATCAGCATTGGGTGGACAGGACATTTATATCTGTAAAATATAAAGCAATCCAAAACACAGACCACAAAATAATGTTACTATAACATTTACAAGAAAGATGGATTTATTGAGACATCAAGGGGTTTTAATTTGACTATATGGTAATTATTGTGGCTGAACAATGATATATTGTATTACTTATTTCAGTAAATCACCACCACACACTATTTTTTTCCACCTGTATAACAAAAAAACTAAAATTGTGTTCTTTTGCTACTATATTGTAAGGCAGTAAGGCCTTAAGACGGATTTAAATCAACAGCTCTTTGACGGTCAACAAAAATGTAACAGGTATAATTTGTTGCTGAGCTATTGTGCGCACCAGGTCTGTACGTCACTGCCTATACCACTATTGATTGTGTGTGAGGTTTTGTCTGCAAACCAGACTGATCTTGCTTGTGAAGTGAGTGTGTATACCTGGCTGTAAATATATGCTTTTTATCATGTCTGCCTACAGAGAGCATTTATGCTTGCCTAGAAAATGTGCAAATATTGAGGCAGTGTTTATTCCTTTTACAACCCCTGAACAATGGCTACTTTTGTGCAGTTTGAACAAAACAAATGAAAAGAATTAACAGTGCCAAAGTAGCTCTGTAGTCAATTGAGCAGCTGTACTAGGCACATTTAGAAATGAGCAGCAGTAAGTAATAAGTAACACTGTAGACCACACAAACTCAGGCCACACCAACAGTCACAGACCTCAGGTTCCTGTTGGTTGTTTTAGTTTATCATTGAATACAGTTTTAAGTTGGCTGGTTTCACAGGCTGGCACTCCGTGTGTGCTGGCATCCCCCAACAGCATTCAACAAAACGGTCCACAGACCAGTTTAGGTTTAATGTCCGTCGGATCATTGTCCACAGTCCAACACACAGTAAAAGTTTATAGAGCCTGCAGAGAAAGACGTACCACTCTACTAAGTCAGTGGAGCTTACACTGCTGATGTTGTTGGCTTTCGGCTACAAAGTATTCTCAAAAATTGTCTGAATGTAAAGACTATTATTATGGTTATAAAGGTAATCTGTGTAAAAACAGTCACATGCATAGTTTATTAATGCAGCCTAATTAAAAGAGAGACCAAAATACCAAGCATGACTTAATTTGTATAAATAAATTTGACTACCAACAAAACGATAAATACTTAATAAATACATCAATCTAAGTCAAACATACATAAAATAAATTATAAAAAAATACGAACAAATTATTAATTAGGATGGTAAATGTACACAACTTACAATTCCTGGCATCACAGAACAGGTACCCTTTTTTGGCAAGTACAAGTCAACATTGGCTCTAATTTGGAGAGCATTTAGTTCCCCCAATACAACAAAGGTGGTCTTTGTGAGTGTAAATATTATGTATACCACTGTACATTGTAGTTCTATTCTTCCAACATAACCGAGCTGTTAGAATGGCTGTTTGCAAATGCGTACCCATGGGTTCAAGCTCAGAACAACCCTGACTGCCTTGTTCTGAGAGCTAGGAAAGTGAAAGCTTTTGTCACTTTGAAAATCTGTTGTGTGCTTTGACAAATATTAGTGGTAATTTTCACCGTCTGTTGATGTCAAAATGTATCAGTGTGTATCAGAAGTATAGTAAGCTGCCACAGTGTGGTGAAGCCCAGTTTGTTTTCTCTTTTCTGACATTAAAAGACAGCAACTGAGACCCCCACAGTCAACAACAGTAGAGGCCTTTTAAATACCTGTTTAACAAAACTGCTTTTCCTTCCTCCAGCCTGGGAGGTGGGACCATACAAGGGATCCAGAGATAAAGCTGATAGGTCATTGAATTATTAAAATATTTTTGTCACACATAGTTCAGACCTTTCTCTTCTCTTTTTTTTCTTCTTCTTGTGAAATACTGCATACTGTCACTTCTTCAGGCCACTCAAGATAGTTTAAATTAATTACCCCATAATGGAAAAATTCTGCAAAACTACCAACCAAAAATAACGTGATGAAAGCTGACATTATTTATTTTGAAGGCTCACGTGTCAAAACAGTTGTGAATCACGGCTCTTTTTCAGTGCAGCAAAATCTAACCTTGCAAAAAGCTGGAATGCGTTTCACACATATGCTTATTCTACTTTTCCTGCCTCGCAGAACAAATCCAACCACAGTTTTATCAAAGCTCTGCCATCTCCTCAGTGTGTTACGCTACACATGTTGTAACACACACCTCTTTTAAAGCAACCTTCATTGTCTTCCTTTACACAATCCCAGAAAATGGTAGTTAATAAGAACGTGTATTTGAGCTTGTGTGTTTTTGTGTGTGTGGGTTTCATAATGTGTGTGTTTCCTCCGCGTCTTGTTGTCCCACACAAGGCTTTCAGTGAGCCCACTATAGCCTGCCAGCACAACTGACCTGTGGTAAGGGGGAAATCAATAGTCAATTCCATTTTGCAGCCAGCGTGTGACAGGTACTAGATAGGAGTGGATTGGGTGCATGTAAGGAGCAGGAGCGTGAGTCAGAGCTTGTTTGACCCCCTCTCTCTCTCTCTCTCTCTCTCTCTCTCTCTCTCTCTCTCTCTCTCTCTCTCTCTCAGTGCCACTGTCTCACTCAACCAACCATCGTGGCGGAAACAGCAGTGAAGTGCAAGGGGCCACGCTCCTTGGTGTGCAGCAACTCAGCTTAGGGTATGTAATCACATTAAGCATCATATAGTGTGAATGTTGAATATGACAGATGACTGTGATTATAACTGAATCAGAATCAATACTATATGCCAAATACCAGAAACACACAAGGAATCTAACTAAACTGATTTGTGTGAATGAAATACATATAGCAGGACTTTGTTCTGTACATATGCAAACAGCATCCATTCAGATGTTGTGATTGTAACAGCGATGATAGGAACAGAAAGTAAAGCACATGCACCTTCCACATTGCCACTTTTCAGGACATATGGTCTCTCCATCTGGGCGTTTTGATAATTTGGACAGCTAGTACAGCACATATCTGCACTGTCGCTGCAGAACACACACAGTTTGAGTTGAAGGAGTCCGTATGAATTCAGTCAGCTGGTCACCACTTTGCTCCAGACTGCAACAACTATTCAGTAGATTGCTGCGGTGAACCCCCTGACTTTTCCTTCAGTGCCACCATTAGGTTGACATTTTTTGGTTTTCAGTGAAATATCACAACTACTATTGGATGGATTTCCTTGAAAAGGCTAACCCGTTTTCTTGTCAAAGTACCATTCCAGGATCAAGATTCCACTTTCACACTCACTTTAGTTTACTGTGTAACTGAGTAATATAATAAATAAAAGCATTTTAAATGCCATTAAAATTTGTTGATGCGATGGCCCAATTTTCCCAACAAAGGTTATTCACCTTATAATGTACTAAACTATTGTACATTCAAAAGTAAAAGCAAGCAGGTCTTCCGTCAGTAGTTAGCTGTGAGGCAGGTATTGAGTATGAATGAGCACATAAATATCTGATTAATTGCACTAAGGGTTATGGGGCTGATTGAAGAACACTTGTAGAACAAAAAACATAGACGTAATGTGTAATTTTCTTTACTATTAAACCCTAAGTACAGTATATTGTTTTTGACTCATAGGGTTGAGTGGAGTAGTAGGACGTCATTGTTTCAACAGAAGGCACTGGGCCTAACATATTCTTAGATTTTCTTAATGTAAGCATCCATGATTAGCAGAGACCGTGATTACAGCGGTTGTGATTGCAGTTAACTACTGTAATTCTCTGTATTATAGTAGATAGATATGAGAGGATATTTCCAGCAGTGACTAATCTGGGGTTAGTCACATCTCTAATGTGAATAAGAATCTGAAGAGGAGACAGCATTCTATTAAGTACAGTACAAGAGCCGTAATCAAACCTAGCAAAGCTTCATCGGTTCAACTTAGCTTCAGGGGCCTCAGCTAATTTTACTGCTCACTGAAACGTAGCATGTAATACCCAGTGGATGGAGAACACTTCGTTCATTACTGCTGATTAGGAAAAAAAGATCAAGCAAAATATGTCAACACATGATAACCAGTTAATGTATTTTTAATTAGTGCCTGCTTTTCTTTCCTCCTGTTGATTCCTATTCAAAAACCTACCACTGCGTGTGTTTAATTCCTCCTCCAGCGTCCTCTTGATTAACAGTTAGCTTCCATTATGTTTTTGAGGGCGACGGAGTGACCGAGCAGGGATGCAGCTGTTAGATTAAAAGTTGAGTGGGTGAGCTCACTGGCTCGCCAGGCGCACCGTTTGAAATGAGGCCTCAGCCAGAGAATCATTTTACAATTTAATAAGCTAATAAACGTGATATGGCAAGTAGTTTCAAGTGCCCTTGGGGGGTCAAGGCACAGTTTACAATCCCATTTAAGAGCTTGTTCTATTACCATGCTGACAAAGGCTTGGACAGGCTCAGAGAGGGAGATGACTGCGATTTGAGGCAGCCTCGGTGATACAGCAGATCTGCTA